TGTTTTCAATTATCTGGATAACTGAGAAAAAGCATTTCAGCAACTCCAGAGACCCTCTCCTCTCCCAGAAGGGCAGAAAAGAGTTAGAAATAATCATGAGACTTGTTGGTGACTCAGATCTCCAGGGTCTTGGCTGTCCTCCATCCTGATAGCTTATGGTACAGCCTTGTCGGTGTGCTTGCTGAACCTGCAGGCAGCCTGTATATGGAGTCTCAGGATCACACAGAGCCTGGAAGGTGGTCCTCAGCCTGAGGCTGAGAGATAATGTCCAGGTGTCTCCACTAGGGACAAGGTTTGGGACTGAGCTCCAAGGAGGCAAGAGCATGGCTTTGGTCAGGTGGTTTCTGCCCTGACCAGCTATGCAGTTTCACCAGCTATACAGTAGGAGCATCAGACAAGATGCTCTTCAAAGACATTGTTAAATCCTTGTCTAACGTCCTGTGGTTCTGCGTTCTGGACCTTGTCTATCTGGTCATCTTTCATGAACCTCCAGTATTCACTGAAGGCCCTGAAAGCCCAGCGCTGGAGTTCAGGTTCCAAGGGTGAAAGAACTCACAATTCCAGGATGACCCTCCTCCACAGAGGGGTCTGCAATATAGCAGGACAAGGGTTAAGAAACAGCAAAGGACTGGTGCCTTCCTCATCACCAGATCTGGGTTTCTCTGTGCAGAACCGGGGGTAGGGGTAGGGGGCAGGCAGACCACCCTACACTCCCTCTATGCCCCCATCTTCCAACAGCCCCTTTCTGTCTGTACAGGGAAGATGGACAGATCTCCAAAGTTAGAAGGGGTCAAGAGAGCAGGTGAAAGCTGAGGAGCCTACCAGCAGTTGGGCAGGGACAGAGATGGCTAGTGTTAAATATTCATCAGACACGATGAATTTCCTAGAATTGCCCATTAGGATGTGATGTGAGATTGGCAGCCTTGTCCTAGCACCCAGGGCAGACACTTGTCAACTGGACGGATGGGAAGCGGTGGGGGAAGACACGTCACCTGGGAGAAGCGGTGCATCTCAGCTTCACCAGAATCGTCAGTGATCAATGGGGAAGCAGGGCTCGGAGCGCTCAATAGTGCGTGATAAATAGACAGAAATCGACAGGCCGATTAATTAGCCCTGGGTTGGGGGTGTCTTGGAGAAAAGCATGGGATGTGAACTGTGAGTGAGGTTGGAAGGGAGAGGGGCTGTCCTTTGGACACAGAACTGGGGCTGTGTGGCCAGGGAGAGAGGATTCTAGGAACACCAGGTCCAATGCAGGCTCGAGGACACATCCTAGGGCCAGTAGGTGAGGTGACAGCCCAACAGACAAAGGGCCCCACCTCCCCATCATGTGTTGATACTGAGTCCCAGAGGAAGTCTATGCCCTCCATGTCTAGCCGGAGTGGGACCATGGTACTAGATCCATCTCTGCCCCTAGGAGTCGGGGTTTGAGGCATCCAGTCCACGCTAGCTGTGCCCACTGATGGTGATGCATGGTCCTGCTAATTCTCTGCGTGCCGCCGTTAATTCCGGCGCAGCTGCTGTGCCCACCCTCCAGGCACTCCACTAATGCCGGCTGCGAGCGAGCTGCAAATTAACACCATTTGTTCTGCGGAGCGTGTTTTATTTCTACACTTCACGCATAGCTTATGACTTCGCCAGCAACCGCAGAGGGGGTGGTCAGGGTGGCGGAGCTGGGATATGGCTCCCGGCTGCAGTGCCCCGCTCTCCCTAAGCCCACTGTCTATGTGGGAAGGGTACCAGCTAGACACCAGCTCCTGGGGAGGGCTAGGGTCCAGTTCAGCTCTAGGGCCTTGGGAAGCAACCTACTCTTCCCTAGCTGGTTTCCTCCTCTATTCCCTGCTCCTGCCCCTCAATCATTGGACAGGCATATGGACGATGCGTGGCGCTTCACTGCAGTACCACGCAGTGGTCCTTGTTTAATTTGGTGGTGATGCCACCGAGGTCAGAGCAGCAAGTTACAGTAAACCCGTGGCCCCAGGAGCCAGGCAGTGAGCTGGCCCTGGGCAGGGTGGAGGACAGGCAGAAGGCGATTCTGCCCTGCCTCCTGGACTCCTCCCAGCAGGGAGCAGGGCTTGGCGTCCACAGCCACCACTTCCTGGGGCGAATTCCAGGCTGGCCCACTTCTCCCTCCCAGGGATTAGACACTGAGAAACCGCAGGCTCAAGAGGTCACAGGACTGGACAAAGATCCAGGCCAGGCTGCCCCCAAGCCCCTTCCTAGCACCGCCCCACACCTCCTTTTCCCCCACCCCCTCATGTCCACCAGCCCACTGACCACAGGCAGAACTACAAGGGGTCTGGGTCTGAGGCACAGAGAGCTAGTCAAAGAGTGGCAGTAGACCAAGTCCTCTGTACTGACCCCTCTGTTCAGCCCCGCCCCGATCCTGGCCTCAGCACTGAGCGTGTTTGGCTAGGCAGATAGCTGTCCCTCAATGAGAGGGTGGGGCTGCCCTACCAGCAAAGCCTCCGGCAGGTGCTCAGAAAAAAGACAAGCATCCACAAGCCAAGAGGAGGGCATCCCAGCCGCTGTGGGAGACTCGAGAGGCGGTGGGGGACCAGGTGCGGTCAGCCTAAGCCCAGGTGACAGGTTTGTCTGCAGGTGTGTGTGGAGGTATGTGCTGAGGGATGGACCACCCAGAATGAGGCTGGCATTAATTAAGGCTGCCGGGCAGGGTGTTGACCACTCAGGCAGGCATTGAAGTGCCAGGTCACCAGTCCTGTATCCATAGCAGACAGCCCAGGCCTGGAGTCCACTGAGGTCAGCTCTCCCACTGCTGGGGTCAGGGCGCAGGATTATTCAGTCAACAGGCAAGCTCGGGCTGACTTGTCTTGCGGGGTCTGTAGTGAGTAATTTCACCAGTTTATATCACAGCAGAGATTCTGCCTTTATGCAGGACTGGCCTTGGTCTCTCTCCTGGCCCCACAGCACCTTCCTACAGACTCAAAGCTGTCTCTCTTCAAATGGACAATCCCTGAGAGGGGTGGACGGCCTTGAGGATGGACAAGATGTCTCCTGGGATGAGCATGAGGCTGGAACCGCCCGCCCGCTCCATGGTATGGAAGCTGCAGAGGCCTTCATGTCAAAAGGCATGGAGATGGCATGAATATTTCACAAAGGAAACAGCAGGAACATCTGGCTGGGGTCTCCAGGGAGCCCCGAGCCAGTGCAGAAAGCAGCAACTGTGAGATGTGGGGGGAGGAGCCGAGGGGCTGGCCTCTGCCACTGTCCCCTGGGGGTGTTCCGCCTGGGACAGTGGGGGGGGGCATCTGTGTCAGAAGCCCACCTCCACCCCAGGCCCATTGCCTGCTCAGCAGTTGAGCAGGAGGGAGACCCTGGAGAGAAGCTGGGCTGGACTCGAGCTGGGCAGTCCCTGCATGTGGTTATGGGACAAAGTGATAGATGACCCCAGGATGCCCCAGGACACACCGTTAGGCACAGAGGACCCCATAGATCTTGTTGACGGAGGCAGGAACAAGAGGCCCAAATGGGGATCTGTCTGGGCCAGCTCAGGGATCCTGCGTCCATTACTGAGGTGCTATTAATGGTAAGCACTGTCAACAGCCCATGGGTACCAGGGTCTCTGCTGGGGGCTCCGATCCCCACCCCATCCAAGGGAGGTGCACCTGGTGTTCCCACTTCAGCCCCAGGCCCAGAGCTCAGCCCATTGGAGGATGGGAGGCCCCCCCAGGACCCAACTCGGTTCACAACTACAAGAGCCATCCCCCAGCAGACATTTCACAGGTGAGGAAACTGGCATGGGAACTTTAGGGCCTCATCACAGACATGCACACACCCCTACTGAGCAACAATCAGATGCCAAGACACACTCCCAGGCTGAGGGGTGGGGGCCTCTGAGTTCCCCGCTTTCCCCGTCCTGGGCCCCCACTTCGGAGCAGTCCCTGTCTGCTGTGACTCTTCCACCCAGTGGGCATCTCCCAGCTGGGACACAACCCTGCTGACCCCCTGCTGCCTCCACACCCCCAACTGCTACGAGCTGGGACGTGGGTTGCTTTGGGGACCACATCCGTATCCCGTGCCTGAAGACGCAGCCCATCCCGGGCATCTGAAGAGGCTGCCTCCCACAGACTCTAGAAGAGCGTAGTGAGAACAGACGCTATCTCGCCCGGGATCCCCTGACCCCTGGGGACTCAAGCCACATGTCTGTGGAGGCCTGAGCCCTTGGGATGCTCTGAGGCATCCTCTGCCTCCCTCCAGCACCCGAGACCTCTCTCCATGGTCATTGTCTCTCACTCTCAGCTGCCCAAGGCGCACCTCCAGGCCCCTGTTAGCTCCAGGCTCCCGAGGTCCAAACTTCCACTGCATGGGGCCAGCAGCCATGTGGCCTCCCTGCACCTCCCCTGGCATGGCACTTTTATCCCTGAACTTCGTCTGCTATCTACAGCACCAAGCTGAGACAGGCAAAGCTAGCCAGAGAGTCCTCATCCCTAGCGCCCCACCTGCTTTTTTGGCATGTCGTACGGCTGGTGCGCAAAACCACCAGGGGTGGACGAGGGGCAGGTGCAGACGGTTCCCTCTGGTCCTCCACACTGAACACTCACCCAGGATGGACAGCCAGGCCAGGTGGCTCCCTCACCTGCTGAGTTACACCTCCCGGCACCCGGCCCTCTCTGCCTCCTGGGAAGGGGGCTTTGTCCCTAGAGCCGGACAACTCTGTAGCCCAATGCCCCTCCCCATAGCAGGCAGCTGGGCTCCTTGGCACATCACCGAGACCCTCCATGACAGATTCCTTGGCTGAGGGCCCACTGGTCTGCATACAGGCTCCAGTGCCAAGTTAGGCTGGCACGAGACCATGACTCGGACAGTGAGAGGACCCCCCCACTCCACTCAAGGCACACGTGCAGCCTGAGCTTGACTGCAAGGCTGACGTTCAAGAATGGGTTACTGGGACCTTCCCCCAAAGCAGGGCAGCGGAGCTGGTCCCTGGGGGCCAGGCAGGTCAGTGTGTGGAGGTGGATTCCTGACAGGACACACCAGGGATGATGCCAAGTGCTTGCAGATGCCAGCCTGGCCGTGTCCACTCACCCTCCTGCCGACACCTGTGTAAGGACGGTCCCCTGGCCTCCTGGTGAGTGTGTGCCAAGTGCACGGTCAGGCCCTGGGGCTTAGGATGTGTCATGCCTGGAGGGTAGCACAGGAGGAAATAGAGGCCAGAAGGGGTACAGAAACCCCACGAACCATCTTCCCAAGCTCCCACATTGCATGCACTAGTCCCCTGTCTGCCTCCCCTGGCCTGGATCCTGCACCCCAACACGGGTGCCAGGTGTTACCTGTGTGCACCAGCCACCGCCTACTCCCAGCCTGGCCCGCACACGGCACTCCGCCAGCTCAGTTGCCGCCTGCTGACCAGTCTGCCAGGATCAGGGCTCTGCCCGCCGGTGTGCCCAGCCTGCTGTGGGTCCATGGCATGCGTCCATCCTCACTCCTCTGCAGTCTGCCCGCCTTCACCTCATCTTCCTCCTGGGCGCCTTACGAGCCCCCGCGGAGCCGCTCGGAGGGGTGCTGGCAGGACAGCCAGAACCCGGAGAGCCTCTGGCAGCTGAGTGTAGCCACGCTTGTGGGTTTTTGTATTTTAAACGCACACACCCCCCTCACACTCACATGCACACACCCCTCACACGCACGCACACACACACACATGCGCACGCACACAGGAACACATGCCAAGTCCACCCCCCCAAACACACATCCCTTCTGTCGGGAGCAGACCCAGCCAAGACAGCCGAGCCATGGCTGGTGGGCGGCAGGGATGGGCTCGCAGAGGGGTGGAAACTCCATCCCATCTCCATCTTACGTAAACCACCGGAACAAAAAAAAAAGAAAGAACTCAAATTCATCCGCTTTTTGGAGGGTCCTGATTGGGTGCCGGATTTGCTGGCTGGATCCCCTTGAGCTTGTCAGACAACTCCACACTGTCTCTGCGCCCCAGCCCAACAACCTACCCATCATCTCTCTGGCCAACTGCCCCACACGGGGCCACACCCAGCCCCAGTGTCTCTCCTGGTGAGGGTGTTTGTGGAGGGCAATGCTGGTCCTGCTCAGAGGACCCTTGGGCGTCTGCCCTCAGAAGCGGAGGGTCTGGGCAGAAGATGCAATGTGCACAAGAGCACACACATACAGCTAACGTGCTGGTGCAGGTGAAGTGAGCCAAGTCTGGACTGGCTGCAGAACGGTCCCAAGAGGACATCAGGGTTCTGGCCAACCTCAGGGCTGAAGACCAAGGCGCTTGGGGAGAGGGCTCCTGGGACCCAGCCCAGACGCAGAGTAACTTACCACCTGGAGAGGGCAGTAGGGGGGCTGCTGTCTTCATCTTCCCTTCTAACAGAGCCCCAGTTTGGTTAACGTCGCCTGTTAATTCTGACTCACTGCATGCCCACGTCACAGGGTAAAACTACCCCATGGAGTCCTGGTGTGTGGCACTGTGGGTTCATGCGCCAGACTGCAAAGGCATCTAAACTGCAAGGTCGGCTATTAAAGCTCACCGGCTGCTCTTCAGAAACCCTATACAGGGGTCACTATGGGTTGAAACTGACCCAACAGCACTTAACAACACCAAACGCTTCACGGGGCCAGTTCTCCAAGCTTTTCTCCTGAGGAATCACTGCGTGGGTTTGAATCGCTGATCTTTTGGTTACCAGTCAAGTGCTTAACCACTGTGCCGCTCAGAGTCAAAAACCAAACCCACTACCTGTTGAGTTAATTTGGATTCTTATTGACCCTGTAGGATAGAGTGGTCCTAGGCTGCTCTCATCTTCACGGGAACTGCTCTCCAGGTGGTCTCCTACAGAGCTGTAGGGTGGATTCAAACCATTGACTTTTCTGTGAGCAGTGGAGTGCTTACCTGCTGCATCAGCAGAGCTTCTGCTGGTTAGCAATGCCTGTTCCTAAAGCTGTGGCTGCCTGGGCTGGCCCACTGCTAACCCAGGACACAGAGGACAGTGCAGTGGGCATCAGAGACATGACGGCTTTACTGCATTAAGGAGAGCAGAGTCAGGTGTCCTGTCTGAATCTGTCCCTTTCTTCCTGAACGTAGCACAGATTCAGTGTCTGAAGGGGAGGCAGAGGTCCTGTGACTGAGACGTGGAGTGGACAGGGACGTGCAGCGAGTAGCCAGAAATTGCTTAACACTGAGGATCCCTGAGCAGCTCCTTCTACCCTGCCCTTTCTTTCCCCCCAGTCGTCTGATTACCTCACAGTAAATCCCGTTATTACTGTGCAGAACCGTCCTAATGGGGCAGGTGGGGTCAGGGTGTGTGTGGCAGGGCCCAAGGGCCCAAGAGGAGCCTCCAGCTGACTGGGTAGTAGAGTGGGGTGGTCTTCTGGGAACACTGGATCATCTTCTAGAGGGCTTGTAAGGTTTGCTGTCAATTTGGAAGCAGCTAGTCCAGTCCTGGTGTGGTACTGTGGGCTAATGGATCAGACTGCAAAGTAGTTTGAACTGCAAGGTCGGTGGTTCAAGCTCACCAGCTGCTCCTTGGAAACCCTATACAGGGTTGCTATGGGTTGGAATCAACTCAACGGCACTTTACAACAACAAGTCCAGACTAGGTTGGACCCTAAATCCTTATGAGAAAGCCATCAGGAGACAAGAGAGAGATGAAGGACGGAGACATTGCAGCGATGCAGCCCCAGGCCAAGGAACACCTGTGACCTGCGAAGCTGGGAGAAGCCATCAAGGACCCTCCCTGGAGCCACTGGAGGAAGTAGAGTCTCTCCTGCCTTGATTTGGAATGTCTCACCTCCAGAGCTGGGTGAGCATTTTGTTACTGTTTTTAAACCATCCAGCTTGTGTCATTTTTGACAGCAGCTCAGGGACCCTCCCCCAGATGTTGGACACGATGCCCCAGGCCCCTTGCTCTCCTGTCTATTGTGTCTCAGCTGTGTCCAGTGAAAGAAAACACAGTGGAGATGGTGTGAATTGTCACGTTAAAGGCCCACCTGCAGGTGTGGGCTTGGCACTCCAAGGTCAGGCCCCTGAGCACTCAAGCTAGGTGGTGGTGGCTCCAGGCCAGGCAGGAGGGTAGCCTTGGCCCTCGGCCGAATTTGACCATAGCGTGCCAGGACTGGCGAAGGGTGTGGTGAATGAAGAAGTGGACACAGCTGCCCTCTGTCCTAGGGCCCTGCCAGTCACCCTGATGGAGGTCAGTACACTGCTGTTCAGGGACATGCCTTATCTGTCATGACACAGAACACCCTCAGAGCCTGTGATGGGCATCCCTCAGTGTCCACCAGCTCCCCTCCTAGACCCATGGGGAACAGCACCTGCTCCTCCCAGAATTGAGCCAGCTGTGGACCCCCAGATCTGTTCAGGTGCCACCTAGCTGCTAACTGCCTCCGGCAGGGGGAGGCACTCCTCAGGGAGCCCCAGTTTGTCCCTCTGTCCCCACATGGTCACTCAACTCTTCAGGCCACCCTTCCCCTGACTGTGCTGCCTAGAAGCAGGGGACAGGGAGGGAGGAGCAGCTTCCCCCAGAATGCAGCACTACCCCAAGACAAATCTGTTCATTCTTGGTACAAATATTCCAATGTACCATAATTTCATATGGTACAATTCTCGGTACCATAATTCAAGTGTTTCAATTCTTCTAAAGCCTCCCTTTTTCATTGTTCTGCTGTTAAATCCATATGCTGTGAGTTCATGTGAAGTAATTAAAGAGGCCACGGTTCAGCTCAGGAGCCCCTTAGTCCTCAAACTGATATCTTTGCTCTTGAATGCTTTAAAGAAATCTCTTGCAGCAGATTTGCCCAGTGCAGTGTGTCATTTGGTTTCTTGACTGCTGTTTTCAAGAGAATTGATTGTGGATCTGAGTAAAATGAAATCCTTGACAACGTCCGTCTGTTCTCCATTTATCATGATGTTTTCCGTTGGTCCAGTTGTGAGGATTTCTGTTTTCTTTGCATTTAAGTGCAGTCAATACTGAACGCTGTAGTCTTTGATGTTCATCAGCAAGTGCTTCAAGCCCTCTTCACTTTCAGCAAGTCAGGTTGTGTCCTCTGCTTCTCACAGGTTGTTAACGAGCCTTTCGCCAATCCTGATACTGTGTCCTTCAGATTACATGTTCAGCATACAGCTAGACTAGGGTGAAGGGATGCAACCCCGGCACACTCCTTTCCTAATTTTAAACCATTCAGATCACCTTTGTTCCGTCTGAACAACTGCCTCCTGGTCTGTGTACAGGTTCCTCGTGAGCACAGTTAAGTGTTCGGAAATTCCCATTCCTCACAATGCCATCCATATTCGTTACGATCCACACAGTCAAATGCCTTTGCCTAGTCAACAAAACACAAGTAAACATCTTTTTGTTATTCTCTGCTTTCCGCCAAAATCCATCTGCGTCAGTAATGATACCCCTTGTTCCAAGTCCTCGTCTGGCTTGAATTTCTGGCAGCGCTTTGTTTATGGACTGCTGCAATCATTTTTGTATTATCTTCACCAAAATTTTACTTGCATGTTGTTATGTGAAGATTGCTGGATAAAAGAAGCTTGAAGGTGAGAGACTGGAAACTGCTCCTGGTAGGTTCAAGGTGAGTAAGTGTATTGGGGTGCAGGTGAAGATGAAGCAGCTTTCAGACAACGGGAGGATAGAGCACACTCGGTCTTTACTGCAGAATAGAGATAAGGTGGCATTTTAATAGGCAGAGACCACAAAAGTGGCAGCGTGCATAACATCCGAGGCTACATGCTGGATAAGCCTCCATCTTTCTGGCTTCTCGTCACATCCCAGTAAGCTACTAGACCTGTCTATGGACTCATCTTCTCACATAAAAGTTCCAGAAGGGGACAAGGATGTCTACTAGCTTCAGCATTGTCCTCATTCACCTGTGATATTAATGACATTGTTCAATAATTTCCAAATTCTGTTGGGTGACCTTGCTTTAGAGTGGGCACAGATAAGGATCTCTCCCACTAGGTTGTCCAGGTAGCTGTCTTCCAAATTTCTTGTCAAAGACGACTGTGTGCTTCCAGTCCTTCATCAGATTGTTGAAACATTTCAGTTGCTACTCTGCCAATTCCTGGAGACTTGTTTTGTTGTTGCTAATGCCTTCAATGCAGCTTGGACTCCTTCCTTCAATGCTATCACTATTTGATCGTATGCTACCTCTTGAAACGCTTGAGCATCTGCACTTCCTTTTGTGACAATGACTTTATGTCTTCCTTCCAGATTCTTTGGTTGCTCCCTGCGTCGTCCAGTATTTTGCCCATGGTGGTGGTAGTGGTGATGTGCTGTGGAGTCGGTGCCGACTCATAGCGACCCTGCATAGGGTTTCTGAGACCGTAAATCTTTACAGGAGCAGAAAGCCTCATCTTTCTCCTGAGGAACGGCTGGTAGTTTTGAACTGCTGACCTTGAGGTTAGCAGCCTGACTCATAACATCTCCACTACCAGGGCTCCTTATTTTGCCTATAGAATCCTCCAATCGAATATTTCAAATCAAGGCTTTCTTCAGTTCCCTCGGCTTGAGAAATGCTGAGTGTGTTCTTACCTTTTGGTTTCCTGACTCCAGGTCTTTGTACATGATAATATTTTACTTTGTCTTCTTGAGCTCTCCTTGGAAA